AATTAAAAGCGAACAAGAAGTTACGGTATTAATTCAGACATCACAACGGGATGCTCTGAATAAGGCCATTATCAAATGGGAATGGGTGGGTAGGAAAAATATTAAAGTTTACTTGGAATACAATCAACTTGAACGGATTGAAGCCTGATGACAAGAGAGAGAATGTGAAGTGACCTCTGTCAGTCAAAACAAGATTGAGCCGTCAATCTTTTCATTTTGACTGTTACATCGGAATCAATTAAATTCACAAAGAGACTGAAATAAAGGTTCCGGTGATAAATAATGTTTATTGAGTAAAGTGAAATCAACTGCCCAACGAACGCACGTAAAATTAAAAGCGAACAAGAAGTTGCTGTATTAATTCTTGGGCTGAGGTAAGAACATTTATGAGTATGGCACATCAAGATGGGCTGGAAATAGCACTCTCAGACTAAATTTTAGATAATTTCCTTTAATTCTCCATTTTCTTTATAATCTTAGGGGGCCCGGACCGGTTGGTTCCAACGATGTCTTTATTTACTTTCTACAATTTCATTTTGTAAGTTACCAATGGAGTGTAGTGCTTGGTGGGCCTTAGTAAACCCAAATAGAAAGTTTCTGGGTATCTAATTTCTGTATAATCATCTTAAAGAAATATTGTTTAACGATCAATAATGTTTTTGGACAGAATCACGGACAAATAATTATTATTCGTAATTTCGAATTGGTAGTAGTATTGACAAGCAGGATAAAAATGCAACAGATATGCGATTTAACCACTATAAAGCGTTTAATACTAAGCTCATACTAGCACCGGTTTATTTATGTCAGCATGTTCAAGAATAAACGAATTGTTTTATCACGCTTTATTTAAGTTCACAGTATCTTCAAGTTGAGACTGGTAGATAGTCTAGATTAAAAACAAATAAAAGAATAGGCCTATGTAAGTATAGGGAAGGTGTGCAAGATGAGCATCATATTTTATTTGTTTGTAAACTGTTCTTCCACAACAATTAATGTCCCATAGTTATAAAGGCAATTTTCCAAATGCAAAACATATTTAGGCCTATTCCTGTTATCGAGGGTTTTATGTTACACTTTGTGGTCAATAAAGAATAAAAACAAATAATAAGTAGTGGATCCAAATTAATTCTTTTAAAACCGTCTTTAAAACATGAAACCCAACACATAAGTGTTTCTAAAACATGAATGGCGTTTATAGGATCATCACTAGAGTTACTAATGTCGAAATAGGCTCTGCCATCAGCGTACACTGTGATCGTGGTGCCTGTACATTTACTAACAGTGTATTTACCGGAGATCACATCGCAGTAGGTTCCAGCAGGTAGACCAGTGGAAAACCATTCTTTAATTCTATAAGAATCATTATTAATGACCAAGAATGCCTTATTCCCTCTGCTAAACGCAATCGCTTGGTTACCGTTATCCCACCAATTGTTAACATCGGTACCCTCCGCCACATTCCTGAATTTAACCATGTTTTTAATCTGCCGCCATCTGTGTTCGCAAACCCATCCATTTCCACATAGGCCATGGGCTGGAGGGGGGGGGGGTCACCGTGTACCTCCCGCCCCCCAGAGTTAAACTTCCTTGGAATCGTTTCATTTTGTTCCTACGGGCATATAGAACAAAAAAATCGATGTTAACAAGAAAAATATAGGAATGCATTGTATGTACTCTGTCTCTTATACACATCTAGATGTGTATAAGAGACAGTTGTTATCATCACGACATCAACCGCAACCTTATTATACTCGTAGGCATACTATCATTATCATCATCATCATCATGTTTTTCACTATACTTCCTTGCGCGATTATTTATATATTTTTTATTTAATAAAAAAAATTAAACTTAGCTTAGACTAAATATTTAAATATTTTTCAATAACCTGTGAATAAAAAAAATCCCATCAATGTTATATTGGTAGCATATAGCATGTAGCATACATGTTTCTTAATCGAATGCAATTGAAATAAAATTATTGACGTCACTAGAGGTCAAAAGTTCATCGACCTTTTTCTAAAATGCAAATTTTTCATAAAATATCAATAGACTTTAGTGCCATATGTCTAATTTTGGATGTATTTGTTACAAATTGTGTTTTTCTTGTAATTATTAACATATGGATACAAAAATTGAGGTTAACAAGAAAAAAAATAAAATGCATTATATACTATTATCAATGTTTATGATCCGATAAATTTGTAATCAACAAGAGTTTTTGGGGTAGGGGGTAACATTTATGCTAATAACTCTTGATTTAGTTAATGGATTTGTATGATGTTAGTATCAACATCTAGCCTATATATTGGTCAGTCATTCAAATTCAAAACAAATTTGAAACAGGTCAAAATTGACGTAACTAGAGGTCAAAAGTTTATTGACCTCCAAAGAAAAGTTGTATTCATTTCCAATTCACTTACAAATATGTACAAATATAGTTGTCAGTAGATTTGATACTAATTAGTATTTTCTATTATAAATAAGCATATGGAATATAAAACAATGATATAACAAGAAAAATGTATAAATTGATTAAATGTACTGCTGTCATTTTGTTATAATCTTAGAATTTGTAATCAACAACAGTTTTTGGGGTAGGGGATAGCATTAAATGGTCATAACTCTTGATTTACTATATGAATTTGTATGATGTTTTTGGTACCAACATTTAGCCTATAGATTGGTCAGTCATTCAAATTTAAAAAGTTTTGAAATTGGCAGAAATTGACGCAACTGGAGGTTAAAAAGTCATTGACCTACACAGAAAAGTTGTATATTTATTCCCAATTCACTCAGAAGCGTTTACAAATCTACAGTTGTGAGTAGATTTGATACCAATTAGTATTTTCTATTATTAAAAGCATATAGAATATAAAAAATGAACAAGAAAATTGTATACATTGATTAAATTTATTACTGTCACTTTTTAATAATTGTGTAATCATTGGCGATGTTTGGGGTAGGGGTTAACATTTAGGTTCATAACTCATGATTTGTTGGATAGATTTGCATGGTGTTGGTATTAACATGTAGCCTGTAGATTTCCAGCCATTTAAATTTAAAACGTGTGCAGAAATTGACGTACGTAAAGGTCAAAAGGTCGTTGACCTCTGTAGAAAAATGCAAATTCTTTCCAAAAATTATGGCAGATATTCTTTATGACAATATATGGAAATATATAGTGGTGAAAGTTATGTTAAAACACGAATAAAATAAACGAGCGGTACTGGATAAAGACCACTTGGTTTATTGCTTCAAACAAGATATCCATTCATAGAAGTCTGTAGTGAAGATGGGCCTATCCAAGTGAACCTAAAAGGGATCGAGGACCAGGACATACTTAGATTGACAAAGATTTAAATATGTTAAATACAGACACGATATATACATAGGCCTA